TTTGAAGCCAGTGAAAAGACTGCTCACCCTGCAAATTCATAAAACTACATCTTTAAAATGGTCTTAACATGCGCACACACACTCCCCCATGCCTCTAATGTCCAGAAAAACAGGACATTTTTGATTCTTCAGCTATGTGCCAGCTCTCTGGAACAGATAAGGACATTTAAGTTTCCAGCACAGACCACTTAATCTCGCGTCAGTTCTGGAACCACGTGCTAGATATCTACTAACTGACAGGGTTTTTTAACTGACTCTGATCTTAATGAGCCAGACAGAAGCTGAGTATAGGCAAGGGACCATGAATGGTTGTTTATCTGAAATACCAACATCTGGATTAAATAAACTCATTTGGAAAAGTTTTATTACATACAAGGGGTGAAGCAAAGGGAAAAGCATTGTCAGGAGCAAGAACCAGTGTGTGAACCCCCCAAGACAACCTGGTGCTTCGGAGCCCAAGTGTCAGTGCAGGAACTCACAGCTGTTTGGGGGTGGCCATCAGCCTGCAACCTTCACATCCATATGCAAATCCAGCATTTCACTTCAGTGCTTGAGTATTAACAAGCCCCTTTCTTGGTAATTTATTCTACTCATCCAAATATAACTTCTGCTTCACGTCCCAGGTCCAAGTTGAATTGAGGTTAAGTGCTCTTTACTCAATCTAAACCCCATGGAGGTACCTACTGAATCAGTACTCTCCAAAACACCCACGTACCTGCTCTCCAGAGCAGGCTGGCACTACTTATCACCCCAGTCTGGCTGGAGGATCCCTGTGTCCAGGCTGCTGGATCTGTCAGACACCTGCCCAACTCCAACCACTGCCACACAATGGCTTGGACATGACTGCCCACTGCCAAGGGCAGGGTGAGCATCCTGAAGCCCAATGGCTTGGAGCTGCGATTGAACAGGTGGTGCCCCACACCACAGGGGCTGAACAGCCAGCTCAGATGGATGGACAAGGCTGGCACGTGCTCCTGACCTGAGGGGCACCCCATGGCACAGGCAGCAGGGCAAGGCAAGGCTCACCAGAGCAGCTGAAACAGGGCCAGCTGCACCTTTCCACCCGCCATCCTGCATGGTACCTCCGCCAGCACCAGCTTTTGAACTGTCACTGCTGTCTCACCACAGTTACACATTCCCTCAGCCCAAATAAAGAGCAAAACTGATCAGATCTGTAACACAGCCACGTCTCAGCTCTTGTGTTGAGCTGCTGTTACTGTTCCACTTAAAGAACAAACCCGTTGGCATCAAGAGGCCACCCCCACCTCTGGGTTATAACAAGCTGACCATCCGTTGCCTTAAGACAAAGCTCAGCAAGTCCCAGCCCTGATCTTCAGCCACATGCAGAGGACCTGGTCACTGGCCCTCCCATGTGCACTGCTCCAGCCAGGACCAGACCGCAGCCTTGGTGACCAGGAGCTCCTCATCGCCTTGGGAACTCTTGTTTGCAGGTGTCAGCGGCGTGACTCACTGCTCCTCTGCAAGTCTGGAGCTATAGGAAAGCATATGGGGGAAGCACTGGGGAAACTGAGGCACTTCAAGGCAACATGTGGCTCCTGAGACAGCTCTGGTTTCCCTACCCTTGGAGGTTCATGTCTCCAGACAGAAGGGAAGGCACTGAGATGGCAGCTCATCCCACCACTGCCAGTGCAGGTGATACCGTCAAGCCTCAAGGACATCCCTGTGGCACAGGCAGACCCTGCCAGGGCAGCAGGAGCAGCCTGGGTGAACAGAGCTGAGCCCCCCCGCACTGGGACGGGCACTTCCCACCACCCGCTGCATCACCTGTCCCCGCGAGCTCAGACCACTCCGGGCAGCATCTCCTCGGGAGTGCTCGGAGTGGAGCCTGACCCTGCCAGGAGGACCCCGCCAGGAGGACCCCCTCATTCCTCGCTCCCTCGGAAGCAGAGGGAGGTTTGAGCCGCTCTCGTTTCCAGCTCTGTGCAGAGGCCAAACACAACAGGCACCGCCGCAGCGTGTCGGGCTGCCCAGTCAGCAGGACTGCCTGCCCAGATATGGAGCTCCTCCACACAGCTCTGCTCCCCAAATATGCATAAAAGGAGATTCCTTAAAAACAAAAAAGACATAAGACACTGCAAAAACCCAAACCCAGTAAGATAATGCAAAACAAATGCTCACTGACTATCTTTAGAGTCCACCTATGCCCAAGTCCACTTGGAAACATCAGTGTTAAACAAGGAGACACTAAAGTTTAAGATAGTTTGAAGACATTTGTAATGCCTTTGGGGAAAAAAGCCTGTGTCAACAAACTGCTTGGAAGAAAAGCAAATTCTGCTCACCATGACTAGATAGACAACGCGTGAAGGTTTCTGTTCTGGCTTTTTGTGTATTAGCATTCTTGCTATTAAAGGAGAAAAAAGCAAGTAAGCGCAGAGGAAATTCTTAGGTAGTGAAACGATAGGAAATTGAGGCCATTCTACCCACAAAAACATCTCTGAACAATCTCAGGAACATGCCAGTAATACCATGGTTCACTGTTTCACTGACCAAAGGCAGGGCCATCCCAGGCACCAGGAAGTTCACTCAATGGTTGGAAAAGAGAGCGCTATAATGACAAGAGACAAGGCAAAAACCCAAACGTGGCTCTGTCTTGATTTAGAGCTTGATGACTCCTGTGGAAAGGAGCACTGAGCTTCCAAGGCAGGTCTGGCGAGATGGACCTCTGGTTAGAAGCCATGAGCAGGTCAGGGTCCAGCTCCACCAGCCTGCTCCATTCACTGCTCAGGCTTCACAAGGTTCTTCTAGTGTATCATCCTCCCACCAGCCCAGCAACTTTGGCCAACGTCCCTTTGCCAAAGGGTCTACTGAAGCTAGTTTGACAATTGAGTTTACTGCGAGGGGACTGTCCTCAGTGACACATGAAGGAAGCTTCTCACATCCACCACTTGAAAATCCTTCTGAGAAGTGGAAGCCTCTTTCCACTCTCCTCACAACTACGGCTTTCAGTGCCAGAGATTTAGTGCATCCAAGAGGAACAGACTTCAGACTAAACGTAGGTTAAGCATTTCCCAGTGAAGGCTCCTCCAGAAATCACCAGGCTAACGCTACAGGCAGACAGGTCAAACAAATGGGCTGAACCCAGACCTGCCAGTGCTCAGACACACCAGCCATCATGAGCACAGGCCCTCAAACATCTCCTCCCTTCTAGAGCTGTGGCTACACAAGTACTTTCCTCTTAGGCATAACTGGATATATATGGACACAGCCCCATTAGCTGTCACAGTTTTGTGGTCTCCAAGCATCCAGTCTAAAGCTGTAGCAATAAACAGCTCACTGCCAAGAGCATCAGTCACAGGACAGCTGCTGAGATCCTCCTGCAGACAGTCACGGGCAGGCTGATGGTAGGGAAAAATTGCCTTGGGAGGTATTTAGCACCTCTTCCTACAGCCACAGAAGTACAGGCTGGCTCCAGCACCCTGCTCCTGGGACACTCAGCACACAAAAGATCCAACTTCTACAGAGCAGCAAGTAGAAGTAATTTAATTGTTAATACAAATTTTAACAAAGCTTACAGGGCAGCCAATGAGGGAAAGCTAACATCCCTACCATCCTCCACTGACAGCTGCTTTTGCAGAGAGGTTGGTTGATCTCAAGTCATTGCGGAATCAGTAAGTCCCACTGAACATCCTCAGCATGTGGAGTAACCCACAAAGTGCCATGAGAACCCGTAGCGACCTTCTGCTTTCCTTTAAGGACCTCGATGAGTTTGACACACGAGGAGAACTGAGCACAGCAAGGGCAGACCAAGATCTCACGCAGCCGAGCGTGTGCCCCAGGGGCTGTTTCAGTGCCCGCACCCTGGGCCCCAGCCAGAAGCACCCACCTCTGCTGAAGAACTTGCTGACACTCCATAAGGGAA